ACATCCTTTTTGAAGGGGGAGGATATATACCTGGGTGAAGTTAGGCCAATTGAAAACAGTTCTAAAGGCAAAGCCAGTATATCCGCTTATGAAAACCACTTGCCCCTGAAACACATTTCCACAGGCTCTGTAAACACAGTTTTACCCCACCTTTAGGCTTCAGTGGTACAATGTAACTACATTCAGATGTTATACATGTTCTAGGGCTCATTTGTGATGAAAGTGAGCCAGGTTTATCTTTTGGCTCAGTCAATAGGATTGTTCTCTCCTCCCTTTGTACGCAGAGCAGACGTTTAAGACTTCCTGATTCGAGAGAAACCTGCAGTCTGTTGTAATGGTCACAGGGGACACTTTGACCTATTCTTTTCTTGCCTTCAAACCAGGGCCAAACAATGGTTTAGAATCCTGGTTTGCAAACAAGAAATAATGCACATCCTAATTCAGGCACTGCAACAAGCTGTCATTTTTCTAAACATAAAGGCTTCAGTCTCAGCTTTGTAGGGGAAGAGGGGGAGCATGCAAAACCAAGGACAACAAGACCATTCATTACAAATTGGTGTTGTGACACGTGAGGGCTGCTTGTGTTACGCTGCTCATCAAAGCTGTCACTTTGGATTTAGTAGTCCTAGAAAAGTTTGATATTGGGCCACTTAAACTAGACTTCGTGTCACGCATCTTCATTAAACACGTGGTAAGAGAACAGTTGTATTCATCATCCAGTATGCCATCATATGGTATGTTTGAACACCTGCAGCATGAAGTTGATTACCACACTGGGCAGTCTGTTGGCTGCTTGCTTCTAGTAAGTCTAACAGCATGAAGTGAAATGTTAGAGCACTCCTTGTTCCTCTTGCATAACCCTTTTCTTGATAGGTGCTAAGAAAGTGAAAGGGAAAAGAGTTTATATTGAAGCTTTGAACCCAGCTGGGATCCCTTTACTGAATAGCAGAGGTGATAGAAGGTGTACTTAGCTGAGGGTGAGATCTTATCCATGTGCCCCTTCTGTTGACTAGAAAACCATCCAAGGTCTGGGTCTTTTGAGTCTTCTTTGTAGGAAGGGGGGGGGAATTTTCACCCCATAAATCTATAGGTCTGTCCAGGGCTGCCCTCAGTCCTGTGAACCGCCCATGTGGCCCAGCCTTCAGGCTTCAGGAACTCATGACTATATTACTTTCTGGCAGCCGGTGGAAGTGATTTAAGCAGCAAGTTATTTTAACAAGTGAACCATGACAACAATATTATAGAGCAGTTTCTTCCAATCAGGTACGTTTCTATCAATTGTATTTTAATGCTTTTATCTCTTTCCCCCCATATCTTCAGTGTCGGGCAAGTTGTCAACATCAAAGCAAAAGTAAACCGAGCATTTAACTCCAGCATGGAGGTTTGTATGCTTTAGCATGCTGTGTGGGAAGGGGTGTCTTTTTTAAAAAAAGGTGTTTCAGTGGCTGTTACCAGATATAGCTGGGCATACTTTCCACAATCTCTGCCCCCAATAAGTAACCAGCACCCCCAGTTCTGTGCCAGATGCTTTTATATTCTGTTGTTGGAACAGATCATGCAAGTGTGCACAGTCGAAGGTAATTTTATTGAACTTGGGTGGCTGCGTTCCCAAAAGACTTTCAGCAAGGGATGGGGTGATAGAGTTATGGGAAGAAGAGGATGAAAAGGGGAAGGACATATCCAGGAAAGAAGTGCGAGTCCTGCAGCTTGGAGTGTTATTAATGCTTTCCTATAAAAGTAGACTAAATTCCAGGTTTATGTCCTGATTTCCTTCAGCCCCATCCCATGAGCTACTTGATGTAGCTTAGGGAGTCCTGTTTTGCTCTCAGGGCATCCTTTGGGCCTTTTGGATTACAGAGACCTGTGCAGATGTATGTCCTCCATATCGAGTAGCATGCAGGGGGCGGGGGAAGAGGGCGGGTACAGAGAGAGAGGAATTTATGGAAGAGTAGTTCAGTCATCTATCTGTAATCTGTTTGCCAAGGATAAGAATGTGATGCAACTGAATGCACCCTCCCTATTTCTATTTACTATATCATGAATAAAAATAGGCCAGATCCCTCTCCCAGAAATGGATATGACCGCACACATACAGTAAAGATTTGCATAATTAGCTGTTTTTCTTCTTACCCTGCATTTGTGAATGGCTGGAGTATAACATCATAACGAGTCTGAAGTTTATGTTAATATAGAATGTTAAGTATTCCGTTGAATAATTTGCAATATACAGTGTTTCTTGGTGAGAAAACAATCATAGCGCTCTCTCTCTCTCTTGCTCTCTCTTCCTTTCTTTCTCAAAATGATCTATACATTTCTGAAGCAAAGAAAAGTTGCTTCTGTTGCCATGCAGTGTGCCCCTTCCTGCTGTGCAAAGCTAAGGGCCTCCACTCTACATGGCTTCCATATTATCAAATTGTCCCCATAAACATAAGGGCTACAATCTGCCTTTTAAGATGAAAACCAGCTTAAAAGCAGCAGTCCCCCTGGAAGCCTGAGACACATTTTATAGGGCACAGAATATTCATTGTTGTAGTTTAGGCTTTATTCCCCCCCCCCCTCCATTTAATTCTGATAGGTTTTTTTTAAATAATCCACAGAGCAAAGTCTATCTAAGCCCAAAAGACAGCCTGATTCCCACTCCTTTTGTTTGTCACTTTGTCTTTTGTTGGAGAAAGGAACAGTCTGATCCACACGATGTCTGGTTTTCATTTTGCTGCCCCAGGGGACAAACTTTTGTGATTCGTTTGCTTAGGAGAGTAGCAGTACATAGAATACAATAATCGCACTGCCTGTTCGCCTTTAAATATGCAGAAGTATGAATTGCCAAACCAGAGCTAAGAACGAGAACAACACACAGAGCTCTTGTACAATGTGATGCCTTCAGTTGCTGTGGAGTATTATTTTGAGGAAGTGAATGTATCTTGTGATGTATCTAGTGCTTTCAGATTTTCTTTCTGGGAATGGAAATAGCTCTCTCTGTATGTTATTAACATCTTTACACTCAGTATTTTTCTCCTCCCCCACCCCTGGACTGATTCTAGGTTGGTATACAGGTCAGCTACGAGGATCTTTGCAATGGGAAACAATGGAATGTGTGCAAGGCATATGCAACTTTTGTTGCGCAAGGCAAGCCACCTGCTAAGGTAGGGCACAGATTCCTGAGAATTAAATACATGAACTTTCTCCTTAGATATTAAGTAGTAAGATATTGTCTGTTCAACCTTCCCACTTTTTTCTTTATAGAGTCTGCCCCCCTCTCTATTTGGAGTTTGTACAAAAGCTCCTGTTGATTGCTTTGGCTATTATCTCGTAGTCTCAATATCTATTTATAAATTTATTTTTGATTCTTTCAGTTTTGTGGGATGCAATGTTAGGTAGGAATATGTGTAAATCTTAAACCTATTACACAAATTAAAAACAACAACAACACTTAACTCTGGGCTTAGAATTTTATAATCTATGAATGGACTAAATTTTTATATAAAATAAATTTGTACTGGCAATCATAGTTTGATTTTATTATTTTTTGGGATACCTAATTCAGACTGATTTGGCAGTGTCCAAAGGTACCATAAACTGAGATTACATGCATGGTTAACAGGGCAGAAATCATTGAACTCAGTGGGTTTTAAATAAAAGGTCTAGGTCTCACTATGGTGGTGAATCTGTGGCTGTGCTGAACCACTTCAGACTACAGATGGGTGCTTCAATGCTTGCATTACTGCGTGCTCCTCCATATAAAAGAAAACTCTTTGCATGTGGTAAGTAAGTACGTTCAGGAGAAAAGTAGGATAGAACATAGTTTTTCTCTGTGGTGGTAACAGTTTTATACAGATGAACATTTAGGCATGCCAGTTTTTACCTGCAAATGGAAATAGCACAAACACCAGTGTGTCCCCCCACCCCAAAGACTAGGCTTACCTCAGGGGGAAATTCTATAGCTAAGGTGTTGTAATATACTGGGTTTGGACGTGTAGAAGTGATCAGCTCATGGTTTATTGGAACTTGGTAAAAACACAAGACAACTTGCGGGGCCGTGTGTTAGCCTGATACCACATTCCCCAACACGTGATCCTGTTTAAATCTGTGAAACACGCCACACCCAACACACACCCCACTTCCCGTGATAGGATATTTACATGGTGGCTATCCATCATAGGTTGGGCACAGGATCCAAGGTGGCTGATAGGCTAGTTCTTGGATCTTTGCCTGCTATTGTTATAGAACCTTAAGCGGCGCTTGTTCGCCTGACCACATGCGAACCCAAGCGCATGTGTAGTCTATAAATACACAACAGGTGTCTTCCACATAAGGATGGGATTATTTTTGTTTCCCCATTGCTGATGTAGCTGCAGATAAAGCACGGTAGAATGGGACTTCCACATGACAGGTTTCCCTGGGCCAATCTCCCAGAAGTGACCACACCCTTCTCCTGGGCCATCAGGGCTTTTGCAATTTTAAATAAAGTAAAAACTAGAATATCATTATATCAATACTAGGAATCAGGCCCGTTGTAGCAATGAGTATTAGCTTGGCCTCCTGGCTGCAGCCCCCCCGGCTGATGGAGGGCCCGGCAGGCCAAGCCGCCCAGCCCCATCCCTCTCCCCACTGTGTGCTCGAGGCCCCGGTGGGCCAAGGTGGCTGGGCTCATCCCTCTCCCCACTGCCCATTCGAGATGCCGGTGGGCCAAGGCAGCTGGCCTCGTTCCTCCCCCCACTGCCCGTTTGAGGTGCCAGTGGGCCAAGGCAGCTGGCCTCGTTCCTCCCCCCCACCTGTTCAAGGCAGGCCACCCGCCAGGGCCTGGTCCTCCGCACTGGCCGTCGATCGGGGGGGAGCAGCCGCAGAAGTGCCACAGAGACGGGCGAGGTGCAGTGCTGCTTTGGACCGGAGGAAGACAGGAAGTGTGTCCAGCAGAGTGAAGGCACTGTGTTCTGAGGCATGTTTGGGCCGACGGCACCTCTGTGGGTGGGAGTCAGAGAACACAGCCAGTGGCCACGGTCCCCATTGTGAGTGGCAGTTCTTGCAGCCAACAGATTAGGGAGCGCATCGAATGTGGCCACCGCAAAACAGCTTTATTATAGAGAGAGATACCATTGTAACAATAGGTGTAGTAGGTTCTCTGAATCCCCAGCTTTAATTGTTTTTAAAGTTCATTTTTAGGGGTATATTACATTTGAAAAAATGCATTACATCTCCTGGCTAAGCCCTTTTACAGCCTTTGTAACTGTGTTATAGACTGAGCTTATGTGGGTCTGACTGGAGACTCTGTAGGAGAATTATTAAGTTGACAGGTAGCTGGGTTGGTTTAGAGCAAAAACCAAAAGCCATGTCAGACCAACCAAAATTACACACAACACAGTGCAAGGAGAATGACTCAGGGCTTTTCTGCATGCTCAACTTACTCCTGATCATCTTGGGAGTCAATCCACAAGTATTAGAACCAATTTGGGAATGGTTCTTCTGCATGTTTGCCCTCCCTCTGTATTTTCACAATTGTGGAGTATGCTTATATCAATTTATTGAAATCATTGCTACATCTCTATAAAAAAGGGCACTAAAATAACAGTATATCAATATACCATTATGTGATAGGTCGAGCAGGTTCTCTGAAATCCTGCCTTTAATTTTAAAAAAGGTAAGCCTCTATCCCCACCTCTTGTGGACATGTGCCTTATATTACATCTCCGTGAGGGAATGGGACTTTTTTAAAAAAATGAAAACCTGGAATTCAGAGAACCTGCTTGACCTATCATTACACTAAAATATCAAAATACCAGTGTAATGATAATCTTCAGGGAGGAAGGAGAGGGAGTAGTTTGGTGATGATGATGGTCCAATGATCGAAAAGTGGGATAGAGGTGCATGGGAGTGGGTGGTTACAAAAAAAAAACAACTGACAGAAACATTACACACACACAAAAAGGCAACACAAATTCGTCTTCCAGAAAAAATGCATGTGAAAATTGGGATAAACTGAAGCAGTGGAGGGCCAGAACTGATATGGGGGGGGGGAATGCAGAAAAGCCCACAGTTTCTCACAACTGGACTTTGCTGAAATTATTGGTTCAAAAATTTCATATTTTGTTGAAGGGAAGATATGTGAGAAGATTCTGCACTCTTCCTAATACAATTAGTCCAATACAAGGTTCCTAATAAAATCTCAATATTTCTATGAAGGGGGTGCATGGAAAGTAGATCGTGGAGCCCTGATAACTTACATTAAAATGCTTTGTTTCCAACCGAAAGTTCCTTATGCTCTCAAGCAGGA